TCTCGAGCTCCATCCGTACAGATTACCACGGACGCATCTCTTAAGGGCTGGGGAGCACATACGCGACACCATCAGGTCCAAGGTTTATGGTCTCACCAGGAAGCCCTACTCCACATAAACTTCCTAGAACTCAGGGCAGTCTTCAATGCCTGTCGACACTTCACCCACCAGATCCAAGGGACTACAGTACAGATCCTTACGGACAATGTCTGCACTGTATACTATATCGATCACCAAGGCGGAGCCAGATCCAGAACTTTATGTGCAGAATCAATCCACCTCTGGAACTGGGCAATTCACCATGGTTTCACACTCTCAGCCACCTACCTCCCTGGCAAGGGCAATGCCATAGCGGATGCACTGAGAAGATCTTTCCACTCCCAGGACGAATGGGAGTTCCTCGACAACGTAGTCCGTGACCTCTTCCAACTTTGGGGCTACCCGGACGTGGAACACTTCACGACTCGCGACAACAAGAAATGCCGTTCTTACTGCTCGAGAGGTGGCATAAGCAGTGGATCGAAAGGAGATGCCTTTCTGCTCCATTGGGAATGTACCATCTTCTATACGCCTTTCCCCCAATTCCCCTGATACCTCGGGTAATAGGGAAAATACTAGCAGACGCAGCGAAAATAATCCTGGTGGCCCCCTTTTGGCCTCATCAGACCTGGCTGCCACAACCTATGCACATGTCATTGTCTCAGCCTCACCATAGAATCATAGAACCATAGAGCTGGAAGAGACCTCAGAAGGTCATCAAGTCCAGCCCCGTGCTCTAGGCAGGACCAATCCCAACTAAATCAACCCGGCCAGGGCTTTGTCAAGCCGAGACAGTGGCATAAGCAGTGGATCGAAAGGAGATGCCTTTCTGCTCCATTGGGAATGTACCATCTTCTATACGCCTTTCCCCCAATTCCCCTGATACCTCGGGTAATAGGGAAAATACTAGCAGACGCAGCGAAAATAATCCTGGTGGCCCCCTTTTGGCCTCATCAGACCTGGCTGCCACAACCTATGCACATGTCATTGTCTCAGCCTCACCATAGAATCATAGAACCATAGAGCTGGAAGAGACCTCAGAAGGTCATCAAGTCCAGCCCCGTGCTCTAGGCAGGACCAATCCCAACTAAATCAACCCGGCCAGGGCTTTGTCAAGCCGAGACATAAACACCTCTAGGGATGAAGACTCCACTACTTCCCTAGGTAACCCATTCCAGTGCTTCACTACCCTCCTAGTGAAATAGTTTTTCCTAATATCCAACCTGGACCTCTCCCAGCACAGCTTGAGACCATTGCTCCTTGTTCTACCATCTGTCACTACTGAGAACAGCCTCTTTCCATCCTTTTTGGAACCTCCCTTTTGGAAGTTGAAGGCTGCTATCAAATCCCCACTCACTCTTCGCTTGTGTAGACTAAACAGACCCAACTCGCTCAGCCTCTTCTCATAAGTCATATGCTCCAGCCCCCTAATCATTTTGGTTGCCCTCTGCTGGACCCTCTCCAATGCATCCACATCCTTTTTGTAGTGGGGGGCCCAGAACTGGACACAATACACCAGATGTGGCCTCACCAGAGCTGAATAAAGGGGAATAATGACATCTCTGGATCTGCTGGCAATGCTCCTCTTAATGCAACCTAATATGCCATTAGCCTTCTTGGCTACAAGGGCACACTGTTGACTCATATCTAGCTTCTCATCCACTGTAACCCCCAGGTCCTTTTCTGCAGAACTACTACTTAACTGGTTGGCCCCCAGCCTGTAACTATGCTTGGGATTCTTCCGTCCCAAGTGCAGGACTCTACACTTGTCTTTGTTGAATCTCATGAGATTTCTAGTGGCCCAATCCTCCAATTTGTCTAAGTCACTCTGGACCCTATCTCTGCCCTTAAGCGTATCTACCTCTCCCCCTAGCTTAGTGTCATCTGCAAACTTGCTGAGGGTGCAATCTATCCCCTCATCCAGGTCATTAATAAAGATATTGAACAAAACCGGTCCTAGAACAGAACCTTGGGGCACTCCACTAGAAACCGACCGCCATCCTGACATCGAACCGTTGATCACTACCCGCTGGGCCCGGCCTTCTAGCCATCTTTCTATCCATCTTACCGTCCATTTATCCAATCCGCATTCCCTTAACTTGCTGGCAAGAATATCGTGGGAGACCGTATCAAAAGCCTTGCTAAAGTCAAGGTATATAACATCCACTGACTTTCCCATGTCCACTGAGCCAGTTACCTCATCATAGAAGCTAATCAGATTGGTCAAGCACGACTTGCCCTTTGTGAATCCATGCTGACTATTCCTGATCACTTTCCTCTCATTCAAGTGTCTCAAAATGGACTCCTTTATGATCCCTTCCATGATTTTTCCAGGAACCGAGGTAAGACTGACCGGCCTATAGTTCCCTGGATCGTCCTTCTTCCCTTTTTTGAAGATGGGCACTACATTTGCCTTTTTCCAATCATCCGGGATTTCGCCCGATCTCCACGACTTTTCAAAGATAATGGCCAAAGGCTCCTCGATGATTTTTCTTCTGTGCACAGATAATTCCGAAACACAATAATTCCGTTTGGGCTACTGCTTCATACTCACCCCTAGTGGAGCACCCACGGGGACACCACTTGAAGAAGAAGAAATTGTCACTCACCCTATGCAGTAACATCTGTTCTTCGAAATGTGTGTTCCCGTGGGTGCTCCACGACCTACCCTCCTCCCTCCTTCAGAACTCTCACATTTCTATTTTTCAAATGTTCTGGCTAGGAGGAACTGGCGCGTCAGACCGCTCGACGCAGAAAGGGCGCGAATGGTGCAAGGCACCTCTGCGCATGCACGGTCTGCCGGAAGGGGCTACTGCTGACAAAAACTCTCTGGATCGTGGCACTGGGACAAGCCTGACACCTCTAGTGGAGCACCCACGGGGACACACATCTCGAAGAACAGATGTTACTGCACAGGGTGAGTAACAATTTCTTCCCTGGACCCAGCAGAGTTTTTCTGGGATACATCGGGTATCCCAGGAAAACCCTGTAGTCTAGATGTAGCCTCTGAGTGCTCCACTGTAGATACATGTATGCCTCTGCGCCTCTAATGAGAGATTTTTGGTAGCAGTATTTGTTGAGACCACCTATGTGCTCTCTCCCTTCTTCATGGTCTGCCTTGAGGTTTTCTAGCACTGTAAGGGGGAAGAACTCCCTCACTTCCTTCTCAACTGCCTTTGGCCTACAAGAGAGAAAGCAGATGTCTCTGAGACTTACTTATCTGTGTCACATCAAAAGTAAAATGCAGGACAATGTAGCACTTTAAAGACTAACAAGATGGTTTATTAGATGATGAGCTTTCGTGGGCCAGACCCACTTCCTCAGATCAAATAGTGGAAGAAAATAGTCACAACCATATATACCAAAGGATACAATTAAAAAAAATGAACACACATGAAAAGGACAAATCACATTTCAGAACAGAAGGGGGATGCGGGGGGAAGGGGGAAGGAAGGTAAATGCCTATGAGTTAATGATATTAGAGGTGGGGAAGGGTAGATGTCTGTGAGTTAATGGTATTAGAAGTGATAATTGAGGAAGCTATCTTTGTAATGGGTAAGGTAGTTGGGGTCTTTGAGTAGTAGTTGTTTTTGTTTGTTTTGCTTTCCCTGAAAGTTAGTGTTTCTTTTTTTCCCACTCCCTTGGGATTAAAAAAGAAAAAGCCAAAGAAAGAAAAAAATATTAATTTACTTTTCCTGTCCTGTCTGGGGGCATTCCATTGTCCCCTACCATGTGGTTAGAAGACTAGTTTAGAAGAATACACTACCGAGTTTTGTCAAGGAAACTAATGTCGACAATCAGAAGTTGCAAAAAAAAAAAAAAAAAGTCGTGAAGTGTGTTTACACTTGCTGCCTCTGTTGACCTTGTCTTTATGTCCCCCGCTGACAGAGGGAACAGTGTATTGTGGGTATATTTCCCACAGTGCCTGTTGACCTCATCTGTTGTTAGGTATTGTGGGACCATGGAAGAGAGCATGGGGCATTCATGGCCCATATAAAACTTGAGGCATTGCTTTGTTCAGGCAATTCTGACATCCTTTCACGCTCTTTTTCAATTGCCATTCTCTGCTGTGCACTCCAGCATCTGCAGCCCAAGTCTCCTTTGGATTATTTCCCAGTGTGCTGATCATGCTACTGATGCCATCCTTCTTGCTCTCTGGGGTTCCCCAGCACCCTGTCCTGCTGGCCCAGAAGTTCTGGTCTTCCCTAGACAAGGCACAGAGTTGGGGTAATCACCCCTATCCCCCAAGGCAGCAGTGCGGGGAGGGGCAGGAGGGAGCCAGTGCTCAGTGGGGACCGGCTTAAAAGCCAGCTCACCACTAGCACTGGCTCCTGTGGAGTCACCGTCCTCCCACCCTTGCACTTCTGCCTCTGATAGAGAAGCAGCAGGATGGTACATGTGGGAAGCAGCTCTTAAGCTGGCTCCCCACACATATCAACTCCTGCAGAGCCACCTGCCCCCGTGCTGCCTCTTTATTAGAGGCAGCTGGTGGGGCTTTGGCTTTTAAGCTAGTGCTAAATAGCCTTGAGGCATACCACAAAGGAGGAGAGCGCATCCATGGGTTCAACAGACACTGCTATAAAAAAAAACTCTGATTAGAAGTGCAAGGTCACACACCACATAGGGATACATCTCAAAGAACCATAATTACTGCACAAGTTAAGCAACTTCATCTTCATAAATGGCTTCTGTTCTTCAGATCACTTGTTCTTCTGGCATAGTTACCTCATATGACCTTTGCGCCACCTCCGCACTCGCAATTCCTTTATTCCATTCTGTCTTTAATAGCTGTATCTTCACAGGAGTTCCTTTTATGGAGGAGAGACCAAGGAAACATAGGCCCTCTAATGACAGTTCAACAGATCATGATACAACTCCGATTCTGTGCTCTTCGTTTGGTCATCCGTTTATAACATTTGTGTAACAACATAATCTTTAATGTTGTTGGCTTTTCCCCCTAGACATATACTGTGAAGACTCCTCCAAAATATAAATTGCAAAGGGAAATCATGAATCCACTTTCAGAAGATGTGAAAAAAAAAAGAAAAGTGCTTTTAGAGATGGATACTTACTCAGATAGCTCAGAACAAAATGACCTGCTGGTAAATATTCCAAAATGGATAGTGCATTTCACAGTTTATTCTGTGTATGTGCTTTGCTGCAGCTCAATGTTTGTCTACTATTCAGGATATTTTATACTGTACAAAACAAAAATACGTATTCGAGTGTATATTTAAGTAGCAGTTCAAATTGTTAGTTTACATGTATATAAAGAGTAACTCCGTAACATGGTCAGAGTCTATCTACAGAAACATGGTAGCATAGAAAACGTATATAGTTTATTATGTCTTTGATAATATTATGTCTTCTGTTCTTTGAAAAGTAATATTATGTAACTTTCTTTTTAATTTAAGAGCATAGTCTCAGAAGAAGAAATGTTTAAAAAGCTGTACAAAAACTGTCCTCAAGCTTCTCACTTATGTGTCACGACATCAAAAAAGGTACTGAACTTTATTTCAGCTTAAACTTATATATTTGAAATATTTTGTCATAATAATAAATAAATGGCTTTACTTTTGTTCTTAGATAACAACTCCGTCAACTATAAAATCTCCTGGTGCTGCACTGAAACTTACAGCTATGAGAAGGATGCGAGAGACTGGTTGGACTGCAGTTTCAAAAATAGATAGGAAAAAAAAAATGAAAGAAGCTGAAAAACTCTTTGCCTAAAATTAATACTAATGATCACTTAGAAATGTTTTGTTCATATAAAATCTTTTACAGTAGAATATATTCATCCAACACAGCACTTCCAGCATATTACTGGGCATGGGCAAAACCTGTAAAAGTGCTGCATGGGTGAAACCCCTATTGATTTCATTGTGGTTACTTTATTTCACCACAGACTCATCCTTTGTAGGACTTTTCACATTGGTTTTACTTGGTCATAAAGCAACATAAACCTGGTCATAAACTTGGCCCAGTTTGTTTGAGAATTGATAGGAAAAAATGTATGCTATTTTAAAATGGAAAATAAGTTGCAAAATTGTTTGAAGTAATTTAACATCAGATTTTGTTCTTTTGAAGTTTACATTCACTTTTGAAGTAACTTAGCCATAAGAGTAATGTTTGAAATGTTGAACTATATTTGTTGTATTGAATACTTCTTTGTACTCATTTCTTTTTTGTTCTTTTGATACATTGTTTACAAATGTTCTTTTAGGGAAGTTAGTTGAGGCAGTAGCCTGTTTTTGTATTGCAACATTTAAGTGTTGAATTTCTAATAATATTGATTCAAATTTTATTTCTTTTACTTTTTAGAAATCTAGTTTTACAATAAATACTATATGTAAATTTGTTCTTTCAGGTTACTGAAAACATAATTTCCAAATGTCATTAAGTGGTTAATTTGATTAAGTTTGGGGAAAGTACTAGCTAAATGCCTATCTATAAAATGATAAGCTTATCAGTAGCCAGGTTAGTACCAAACAGGTGTTAAAGCAAAAATGTTACTGTTCAGATAGCAGGAAATTCTCCAAATTACTCTTGGGGACCAACATCTTCTTTTAAAAACAACTTTATTTTTTTATAAAGCTTGCACAAAGTAACTTAAAACCAATGTATATTTTTTGGTAGTTGATTAATCTCAATTGCTCCAAAAATAGTACAGAGGTGTCAAAGTGTAAAATAAACTTCAGGGGAAAAAAAAACAAATAATTTGATTTCTCAACATAAGTAGATCCACAAATATCAAGGCAAATCAAAATCTTTGGATGAAAGCTTGGCCCCATAGTAATTATTTGCAAAATTCCTAATCACTAGTACTTAGAATTTCACTCATTTGCATCTATAGAAATGTATTACAGGCAGTCCCCGAGTTACGCGGATCCGACTTATGTCAGATCCGCAGTTACGAACGGGGTTTGCTGCCCGTCTCCCTGGTCTGCTGAAGACAAGCAGACCAGGGAGACGGGAAGCAAAGCCTCTGAGGACGCCGGCAGCGGGACAGCCATGGCGCGTCTGGGCTGTCCGCTGCCCGCGTGCTCCGCGGCTTTGCTCCACGTCTCCCCAGACCAGGGAGACGGGGAGCAAAGCCGGGGAGCACGCGGGCAGTGGACAGCCCAGACGCGCCGCGGCTGTCCCGCCGCCCGCGG